TGTTTGTTGTTGGGGTTTTTTTTGTTTGTTTTTGTCTTTTTGAGATGGTGTCTCACTGTGCATTTCAGGCTGGCGTTGAGCTCACTTTGTAGCCCAGGCTGGTCTCGCAAGGATTCTCCTGCTTCAGGCTCCTAAGTGCTAGGATTACAGGCATGCACCACCACGCCCAACTAAGCATTAATCTTTTTTTTTTTTTTTTTTTTTTTTGCGGAACCGGGGATTGAACTCAGATCCTTGCGTTTGCCGGTCAAGCGCGTATCCTACTGAGCCATCTCCCCAGCCCCCTAAGCATTAATCTTAATCCTTGAAATTTTTTTCCAAGTTGCTTTTTCTCATTAGGAAAATGACTTTTGGAATGACTGTAGTTTGCTTTTCATATTAAAAGGTTTTTTGTTTTTTTTTTTTAAAGAATAGAAGTTATTAGAGCTGATGAGATAACTCTGCCACCTAAAGCCCCTGCTTATGCAAGCTTAGGCAAAGCACAGGGACTGCAGTTCCATCCCTGACACCACATGCCTGGCAGGCTGAGCTGGACACACACACATGCGCACACGCACACACACACACACACACACACACACACATTATAAAGAGGCAGAAGAGAATGACCATATTTCATTATTCCATTTCACTGGAAGCACTTAAAAGAACTTTGTTAATCAAGAAAAGATTTAAGAGCCAGCATTATTGCTAAACTAGAGCCAATTCTGGTTAGTTATTTTGTCACCACTCCCATAATAAAGGCACATGAGTAGGATCGCTACCTCAGTTAAAAATATGTAACTATTTATATTAATGTAATACTATAGTAGAGGAAGTACTCTTTCCTAGACAAGTGTGTACAGTAGATCTTATTTGTATTTGTTGCATGCGTACTGAGTCTACCAGTTGATTGAGTATTAGGCTGACCTGGTGGCACACCCCTGTAATCCCAGCACTCAGGTGGCTGAGGCTGGAGGATTGCTTCGAGTTCATAGGCTATATGAGTTCAAGGCCAGTCTGAACTACATAGCCAGACCCTGTCTTAACACCCCCCATGCCACCCAAAAAGTATTTATGTTAAAATAATTTCAACTCCAGATTCTGCCTCTTACAGTAAATCAATATATTCTTTTTTTTTTTTTATGTATTTATTTATTTATTTAGTGTGTGTGTGGCCAGCTCAGCCCACCTGGGGGCAGGGCTGGCTGGCATGTGGTGCTGGGGATTGAACCGCGGTCTGTGCTTTTGCTTAGCTTAGCTTGTTCTAAGTAGGTGCTTTAGACCACTGAGCCATCTCATCAGCCCAATCAATATATTCTTATAGGTTCAATCAGTGTGTCTTACAGAAGCATATCTTATTAAAACTTTTTAAAAACCTAAGTTCTTTAAAAACTTCAGTTTGTTTTTTTTTTGTGGTATTGGGGATTGAACTCATGACCTTGTGCTTGTTAGGCAGGCACTTATTCTACTGAACTATCTCGCTAGCTCATTTTAAAAAAAAAAACCTTAATTTTTAAAAAACATGAGTATAGAAGAACAGAAGATAAAGCCTTAACTCAGACTATTTTATTTCAGAAATGTTTATGTAGTCTGTCTATAATCACCCCAAGAAGAAGGCTGCCCTTTCCATCCTCCATGATTTTTGTTCATCCTTGAAAAATTAGTTAACTCAATTTACTTTCAGTTTTGCTTGTAGTATTAAAGAGTAAAGTTGGCTGAAGAGGTAGGTTGGCAGTCTAAGTGCCTGACTGGCAAGCACAAGGGCCTGAGTTGGATCCCCGATACTGATACTGCATGCCAGCCACCAAAAATGGGTGTGGTGGCACACTCCTGTAATCTCAGTGCTGGGGAGGCTGAGTTGCATAGTGAGACCCTGTACCAAATAAATAAATAAATAAATAAATAATTTTTTAAAAGTAAAGTATTAGTATATTTCTACCTAGTTTATTCTCTTAAGGAAAAAAATAGAATAACAATATTACTAATACAGACTTCTAAGTCAAGCCCAAGTTTAATATATAGATCACACAAAAAATAGTCTGTTACACATTATGTAGTTGAAATTAAAATTGTTATTAAAAGAAATCATAGCAAAGCGTTTCAGATAAAGAACCAAATAACTGTGTTTTATTCTCTTCCTAAGATGTCTGATAAAATTTGCCTTCCCAATCAAGTGATTTGTATATACTGCATTTAATTCATGGGAATAAATTTGATTTTTGGCTTGAATATATATAGTAATCAAATAAATTTAATTTTTTTCAAAATAAATTCTAATATGTATTTAGATCATTAAGTTTACTAGTGAGAAAACAAGTCTCTAGATCTGATAAATTAGAAGTTTTGTTGTAAAATTACATGGAATCCAATAGTTTGGCTCAATAGCCACATGCAAAAATACCTGCAACCTTATCATCTGATCTTGTTGGTTTCTCTCTTACCTTTTAGCAGCCTTTATTTGTATATGAGTAAGCATAGGGCTGGAGAGATGGCTCAGTGGTCTAAAGCACCCACTTGAAACAAGCTTGGCAAAGCACAGGGACCTCGGTTCGATCCTCCAGCACCACATGCCAGCCAGCCCTGCCCCCTGGTGGGCTGAGCTGGCCACACACAATAAATAATAAATGTAATAAATAAAAATAAATATTTATAAGTAAGCATAAGGTATTCCAAATACTATATATTAAATCTTATATACATCTATGGTTTGTTTTTGTTTTTGTTTTTGTTTTGCCTTCCCAGTCTAAAGAACTTCAAATAAAAAAGCAGTTTCAGGATACTTGCAAAATCCAAACCAGACAGTACAAAGCATTAAGAAATCACCTACTGGAGACCACACCAAAGAGCGAACACAAGGCTGTTCTGAAAAGACTCAAAGAGGAGCAGACTCGGAAGTTAGCCATCCTGGCTGAGCAGTATGATCACAGCATTAATGAAATGCTCTCCACACAGGCCGTGAGTTTTCTTTGTTCAGGCAAAACAAATTCAGTGCCTCTTTACTTCTACCCCTTAAATGATATTGTAGCAAATAAAATATTAATTAAAAACCAGGAGTAATTGCACACAACTTTAATCCCAGCTATTTGGAGGTGAGGCAAAAGGATCTTAAATTGCAGGCAAACTTGCAAATTTAGACCCTGCCTCAACAATGTTAAAAAGGGTTTGGAAGCTGGGACTGTACCACAATGTAGCTTAATGATCTAGCATGCTCAAACCCTTTGATTTAATTCTTAGTGTAAATAAATAAATGGTAAGAAATGATAGCTCATGTGAAAGCTATTTCTAGGAAAATAGTGGTAGTACATATTCCTCCTGCTGTTGGCATTGCTTGGAAATGTCACGATACATGTAGAGTATCGTGATAGAGTATCGTGTAGAGCTCCTTATAGGAATAGATCCCATCAGCTTATCAACATTAAAACAGGAGCTTTAGTAAATTGTGGCCAAAAAGTAGTATTATAAAACAGGCATGGTGGCACATGCCTGTAATCTCAGCATTCTGAGAAGGAAACTGAAGCAGGAAGATTGCTAATTTCAAGACTAGCCTAGACAATTTAGCAGTTTAGTGGAAACCTTGTCTCAAAATTAAAAAATAAAAAGGTTTAAGCATGTATCTTAGTGCAAAGGTGATAGGTAGGTTCAGTCCTCAGGGCTGGGTTGGGGATGTGTGCTGTACTGTATTAACAATCAAAATGGTTACATTTGAGTTTGCAAACTTTTTCTTAATGGGCCAGATAATGAAATATTTTAGGTTTTGCAGACCAGGAGACAAAATCAAGGATATTATGTGATTATTTATATTTATATAATTATTTAAAATTAATCATTTTAAAATGTAAAATGTATTCTTAATAGGCTATAACAAAATAAAACCAAGTCCCTTCTAGGATGTGGCTTATAAACGGTAGTTTGCTGATCTCTGTTGCACAGTTGGTTTCTTCTGTGGTAGCAAAAGAATCAATAGTTTTATATCATATAAGATTTCTTTTAAAAAGAATGTAGTTGTTCAGACATCCTCCAAATAGCTTATGATAGCTTTATCTTCATAGTGCCATCACTACTTATTGTCCCTTTTATTTTTGAGAGATGTTTATTCCAGGAGAGAACAACTATGTTGCGTAGAAAAGAATAGTCTTATCTATTGTATTCATCCTCATTTCCATATATCCTGAATGGATAGCTCACAGCAAGCTATATGTTTTCTTTCTCTCCCAGCTGCGTTTGGATGAAGCACAGGAAGCAGAATGTCAGGTTTTGAAGATGCAGCTGCAGCAAGAGTTAGAGTTGTTGAATGCATATCAGAGCAAAATCAAGATGCAAGCTGAGGCACAGCACGATCGAGAGCTTCGGGAGCTTGAACAGAGGGTCTCCCTCCGAAGAGCACTCTTAGAACAAAAGGTATAAATAATAGAAGGAAAATGATTGTTGAAGTATTTGCTTTCATCAAAAGCATTTTGTAAATATATTCTTTTTTAAAAAATTTATTTATTTATTTATTTATTTATTTGTGTGTGTGTGTGTGTGTGTGTGGCCAGCTCAGCCCACCTGGGGGCGGGGCTGGCTGGCATGTGGTGCTAGGGGATTGAACCGCGGTCCCTGTGCTTTGCTAAGCTTGTTCTAAGTAGGTGCTTTAGACCACTGAGGCATCTCACCAGCCCCTGTAAATATATTCTTATATTGAAAGGTTATATTTCTTTTCCAGTATCATATTTCCTTAATTCTAGTTTGGTAGCAGCATTTTTTGGTCTTTAAAATTGTTAATTCACTAATGAGTCTTATAATTAATGAGTCTTAAAAATAAAGGAAATGTAATTTAGTAATAATTGCTAGAGAAAGAATATATGTAAAAATTATTGAATTGTGAGAGGTGTGATTTGGCTCCAGGTTCCTCACTTCTTTTATGTGTCTAGTTTTACCTAAGAAAGACTTACATGGTGGAAAAAAAAGAACTGCAGTAATTGCTTGGGAGAGGCAGGGACAAAGATATGGAATACATATGTTACATATACACCTAGGCCTGGAACTCTGCAGGTTGGAGATGGTTAACTAAGGGGCAGAAGGTACTTCATACAAGTGAAGTCAGGCTGAAAAAGTTACATCTGAATACATCTTTACTTCTGACTTACTCTTTGCCAGATATTTTAGAGAATAGGGATAGGACACACACCCCCATTCAAATGCATCCTTTAGTGTGCTAAAAAAAAAAATGTATCTTTATATGTGTTCTGGGTAAAGGACAATAGAAATTTTGAGAGGTAAAAAGAGAGAAGGCAGGGGCTGGTGAGATGGCTCAGTGGTCTAAAGCACCTACTTAGAGCAAGCTTAGCAAAGCACAGGGACCGCGGTTCAATCCCCTAGTACCACATGTCACCCAGCCCTGCCCCCTGGTGGGCTGAGCTGGCCACACACACACACACACACACACACACACACACACACACACACACAAAGAGATAAGGCATTCATTTTGAGAAATGATACAATATTAATTATATCCAGGATTCATAGTTGTGTCCAAAATTCTGAAGTCATAAATTTCCAACAGCTAATATAGTCTCAGGTCCATTGGGTATTATTAAGTTTCACCTATTAATCCTCCTAAAGTTGCCATTGTTTCTGGACCATAGGGCCTGTGAGTTTTCTGTTTCCTGTAATTCCTGTGATAAAAAAATAGAATACCTTATTAAATTAAAAATTGCATCTTTCTTTGTTGGTAGTGGTGCTATGGATTGAACCTAGGACCTTTACGCTGAACTACATTCCTAGCCACCCCGCTTTTTTTTATTAATTTTTTTTTTAATTACGTATTTGGTACAGGGTCTCACTATACAGCTCAGACTTCTAGTGATCCTTCTGTTTTCAGTTTCCCCAGGGCTGGGATTACAGGCATGCACACCAGCCCCCGTTTCTGTGGATGACATAGTGCACCTGGAGTTCCAGGGCTGGCATAGCATGTGGTACTGGGGATTGACCCTAGGTCCTTGTGCTTGCCAGGCAGGTGCTTAGACTACTGAGCTATCTTCACTATTCCAATTTTTTTGCGGGGGTTGCCAGAACTGGGGATTGAACTCAGGCCCTGGCACTTGCCAGGGAAGCGCCTATTCCACTGAGCCATCTCCCCAGCCCTTCCCCCCCCCATTCCAATTATTAAGTAATACACAGAAACAGAAAAAATATACAAGGATTTTTCTACTTCTGTAGCACAGCTGTCTTTGTTACTGGCTTCTTTTAAGGTACTTCACCTCTAAAAATTATCTTGGTGGGAGAGCTTCCGGCTACTCCGCGCCAGTGGGATCTGCTGGTCCAAGCCCAGGCACAGCGTGGGTGAAACCCTCTTCCACCCCCTTGAAAGCCCCCCACCATTCTGTAGCACCCCCCCATGCCCGCCCAGTGAGAATTTCTGCTGCGTTCTGGGGACCCCCAGATCCAGTCCTAGCCCAGGCCCAGTGAGTGTGTGGGAGAGAACAACTGCAGAAAGGTATAGAGGAACTCAGATTGGAAATGAAAAAAGAAATCCCTGAATTAATAGCGTCTGTAGTAAAGAGTCAAATGCAGAAACATATGGTGGAAACCCAGTGCCCACCCAGAACAAGTGCAGAGGACACTAGCTCAGCTCAAATGTATGAATTAATAGCGTCGATAGTAAATAAACAACAGCAAAAAGTTATAGGTGAACTCAGAGTGGAATTTTTTTCTGAAATAAAAATTATCTCAATGATGTTTTTCATCCAAAGTGGAAGGATAGAAAAGGTTTTTTTTTTTTTTTTTTTTTTTTTTTTTTTTTTTTTGTTCCAGATTGCCTCCAGTTTTTTTTTTTTTTTTGGTGGTATCGGAGATTGAACTCAGGACCTTGTGCTTGCCAGGGAAGTGCTTAGTCTACTGAGCTATCTCCCCAGCCCAAAACATAAAAATTTTAAAAATTTTGAAAAATCTTACTTGTTCCATATGTCTGCTTCCAACTTCGTATTTAAAATTAATTAATGTATTTATTTTGGTGGTACCAGGAGTTGAACTCAGGACCTGTGCTTGTCAGGCAAGCACTTATTCCATTGAGCTATCTCCCAGCCCCTCATATTTAAAATTTTGTCTCTTATGCTTCAAAGTTAACACTAAAAGGAAAATTCTCTATAGTGTTTCACAAAGTGTTGTGAGAGAGATAATGGGTAGGTACTATTAAATTGTGGTTGTATCTGGGTGTGGTGGGACATACCTGTAATCCAAGCAAGCACTGTTAATAGATTGATATAGGAGGATCACAAGTTGCAGCTTAGTTAGACCTTGGATGGAAGGAAGGAAGGAAGAAAGGAAGGAAGGGGAAGGGGAAGGGGAAGGGGAAGGGGAAGCGAAGGAAGAAAGGAAGGAAGGAAAGGCAGGCAGGGGATATAACTCATGGGGGAAGGCATTGATTCACTCCTCAGGATGGATGAATGGATGGATGGATGGATGGATGGATGGATGGATGGATGGATCGATTGAATAAATGTAAAACATTAAAAAAAAAAAAGTAAAACATTGTGTTTGTAATTTTAGCTCCACCTAGTGGTTTATAATTAGCATTTTAGGCATAGCCCTACTTCAATATATGAAACAAAGCCTACATGTTACACAGACTCTAGTACAGTGTGAACGTAAAAACAGTTCCTTTGAAGATGCAGTGGCACTCTATACATTGCTAATTAAGTAAATAGGACCAAGTTACCAGTAAAATCTGTTTTCCTGTTCCCAGTACTGGAGATCAAACCTAGAGCCTAACAGTGAGTTATAATGTATTCCTAGCCCCACTAATAAAATATCTTTTTATGCCTTTT